TGAGTGTTTTCTCTTAGCCTATATGTGACGGAAGGTCTCGGAATCGAACTCAGGGCACAGCTTTGGGGAACTCCCCTCTCAAAACCGGGCTACATGCCCATGTGAGTCATCTAAAAATCGAACTGATTGAAGGAATGAGCATTTATAACATAGCGCGTGCTTGCCCTATAGAAGTCTTGTTGAGCCGCTATGAACAAAATCTTTATTTACGCACACCCGTGCCTAAATAAGATGACGTAAGAATTTTTGTTACCTGGCTTCAGAGTTTCCGTCCTGTTAAGCTGCAGCGCAGTTTTCCTTCTCTTTGAAATATGGACGAAACCAGCGAAGAACTGCCCAATTTTTCTATCGGCATTGACCTTTTAGGTCCTGATTCAACATGCAACAAAAATAAAGCGAAAAAATCTCGCAAGTTGCATGTTTCGCAAACTTGTCTTTATAACTTCGGGTCTTTGACTTTTAAAACATTTTTTAGTGACACTTGAGTTCATTTGGCTTTGATTTTCTCCATTTTCCCCGTAAATTTTGAGCTTTTCGTTCACAGTTATCAGTTAACTGACCTCCAATACTAGTTTTAGAAACATCCCTGCGACCCCTTTCAGAATATAACATATTTTATATAATTGTGTCAGTTCTTAAAATTAGATCTGAAATTGGGCCAAGATTTCTTCTGAAACATCTTACTTCCTAATGTGAATGTATGTTCACTGGCCCAATATATATTTGTTTGTATAATTTTGTGAAAACTGAAACTCTGAGTTTGAATTCAGTTGGAGACAAATCCACCTTCGTAGGCGATGATGAAATATCTTGAATCATCTCTTCTTGCAAAAAATGTAACAAACTTAAAGCCAATAATTGATACAATTTCGAGTTGACAAATTACCATTTATAGCTCATTCAGCCGAACTGCAGAACGGCCAATAAACCTTTATTTATTTTTACCAGGAAACTTATATCCCTTTGAAGACTTTGAAAGGTTTTACCAAAGTGCTACGACAAAAATTCAGACGAAACCTTCGGCAGAATTTTAAATTTATCATTGGGAAAACTTTTCTTCATAATAAGGCCCGATGAGAAAGTTTGTGAAAGTTTCGAGTGAGATATGGTGTTGATAAGCACGATTAAAATTTTTCAAAGACAACAGAATCACACAACCCCGTAGGGCTCGTGCAATTTGGAGTCTTTAAAAAATTTTTAAGTGCTTAATTACACCAAATTTCGCGAGAAATTATGTTATTACTTATTAATAATTTACACGAAAAAGCATCAAAGAAAGTCAGAACACGAAATTTTGACAGCGCGCGCTGTTTGTAATTTGCACTCGTGTTGAAAGTTTGCACTCGTGTTACATAAAAAATGTAATCGTTTTCAGCCAATCAAAAGCGTGTAATTCTTTGATGTATACCATAAATGGCAAAATGGCATGATCTATACTATAACATAATGTATACTACAAATGGCATGATCACCGAAGTCGTCGAATGTCACGAATTTTCCAATCTCAGGCGCAGTGAAATAAAAATATTCCTCTATCAATATAAGACTGTTTGTAAGTGTGGGATAAAAAGGTGAACTTGTGTTACGACATTGGCATTTCTGCAAAGAAGCAAATAGGTGCCATTTTGAAAGATACATTTTTTTAGTGTTATCCAAATCTTCAGGGTCGCTTCTCTTTCGACGCTGGCTTCAAAACGATATTGCAGACTCCTCTGTGTGTTTCTTCAGCTGTTGTTTCGTATCAGCAAGTATTTCTGCAGCCATTTTAGACATTCTATTTTTCTCGCATGAAACAATAGGAGTTAGTATTAAGTATATATTCCCCACGAGTGCCTGATTTTTGTATCTAGGTGAAAAAGCCTGCTATCTATGAGTCAAGAGACTCAGAGGAAAAGGGAAAAAGAATGGGCTTATGGAAAACTGTTTCGCGGAATATTAAGGACGCAGACATGGACAGAATAACAGGATCGAAAAATCCCTCTGCATAGCAACCCTAAGAGACAGAAAACGATTTGTTTGTTTGTTTTTTCGAAATTGTGATAAAGATTAAAATCCGAACAATAGATTTTCCAAAAACTTTCAATTCAAGGAAAATTTTAAACCAAAAAAAGGCTTTATCCTGGGAAATTTGTCTGGTTTTGTATCTCTATCAGAGCACTAGTGAATGGGTGAACGCTACCGGCGTTTTTCAAATTTGAAGATGTAAGAACGATTTGAAAGCGCGCATTATGAAGATTGCTTAATTCTCGGAAAGTCTAATTGACTCTTCTCTGGAGAAGAGCTCCCGTCATCACTTCCCAAAAGAGACACAACACTACTCGGAATAAAATAACCAAACATCGGCCGATGAAAGAATGAAACATTGCGGTGCTGCTTGGATCTAATGCTATTTCACTGGGTTACCAGTTTGCGTGGGTAGGTGAACCTTGCTGCTGTGCTCGTCTGTCCTTAAATGCGGATGTTAATACAATTAAAGGTGGTCTGGATTGTTGTCTTAATACTTCCTGGAAGCCATATTTTTCCACGGACATCAGCCTAATATCAATGGTGTTTGGATTTCCAAAGAGCATATTGCTCGCTTCTCATTCTCAATTAACCATAAAAACGCTTTCTACTCTCATTTACCAGGCATCATGTATGTAAGATGAAGATGCAGGGTTGCTTTCTTTTTAAAGATCCCGCGCGGCAGTGTTTAAATCAAACATGTAGTTGAATTTCTCTTGCATTTGTTATCAGTCTACGGTTAATTTGTTTCCGCCCTTTTATATTCCCTACATTTCATGGCCGCAAAAGTATTGGAGAGGGAGAATCTTTGCCAAGAAATAGGAGTTTTACTATTTCCTCTCGATTAGATGTGTTTTTTCGGCTGTTGAGGTTTAGATTTCAGGGGAAAAATTTTGTTAAGCCGGATGAAAATCGCGTTGAGTGTAAACTTGTCATTTTAAAAATTGTCAGCCTAAATGAAACTTTTTATAAAGTAAAGTGATATCAGAATTGGAACCTCTCAACGCTTCTTAAACTTTGATTTATGTCTCAGAAAATTACCGAAAACATCTCGAGTAAAATTGCAGTCTTTGATGTATATACCACTAATTAAAAAACACACATCTTTTAAGATTTTGGAAAACGCTTTTATTTACTAAATTTTCCGAAGTCTGAATCACTCTGAATCTAATCTTTACATCTGAATGAACTTTCCGTGTGTTTCTTTGGTTTCAATGAACCAAAATGTAACCCATGCCTTTAATGTGTTTATCTCCATTATCCGGTGAACGAGCAGCCTCGTTTCCACACGTGTTATTGTCATCAAATTGCCCTCCTGTACCAAAGCCAATCCTGGAGTCGCAGGAGTCGCATTTATTCTGGTTGTTAGTAGCGATGCCGATTCTCGCTTTGGAGTAATGAGACTCGCCACACATAACATTAAATCCTTCCTTGTTACAGTCAAACTGTAACGAAGCCTCTGAGCCAATGAGTGTCTTCCACGAGTCACGACCCAACGAGGTGTTTCGGTACCTTCCGTCAGCGATCAATGTGTAAAGAGAGGTGGCCTTCATATTGATTACAATGAATCTGATCTGTTCACCGATCTTCATACCGAGACAGATCTTTGAGAAGGATGTGTCCCAGTAAGTAGGCAACTTGGTCTCTTTTGAGTCGAATCCAGTCTCTCCTCCAGCAGTGTTGTATTCAGTTTTATTACTCCAGTAACCAGAATCATAGTGAAAGGTACTCTGGGAGAATAATTTATAAGATGATTTAAATTTATTACTGGTTTTTTAATCATCCACCATATCATCGTGATCGTTTTTAGAAAGTTTGAGACGATCCCTCCCCCAACCCACTTGACATATAATATCTTTCCCCTCAGTCAAGGAGATGTCAGCCGGAGACATGAACAGAGAGCGGAAGTCGCCCTCGTTGTCAATAAGTCAGTCAGCACCTGTGGAGAAATATTTCTCAAGTGGTCGATCATGGCACACAATCGATAAAAAATCGATTCTGCATGGTACCTTGTTGCCGTTAATCTTCATGACTGGCGTCCATCCTCCATGTCCACATCCAAAATCTCCCATGTGACAAAGAACTTTAATTGGCTGTGAGCCCAGATGA